TTTTATGATTTTTATTCCGCCAGCGATCAAGTTCGCTGCGGATGAGTACTCTTCGTACTGTGAGCGATCGTCGCCTATAGGTTTTATTTCCTCTGCGTACGAGCTGTATTTGTCTAGAAGAGTGTTAAGCGTTTTTGCGCTGAATCCAATAGGTTTTTTGTGGAAAATCAGCGACATTCTAAACTTTTTCTATGTTTATTTGCTTCTTTTTGCTTTAATTGCGTTCCTGATCTTTGGTATTTGCCGAAGACAGGGTTGTAGTACCTTTGATAGGTGAAGGTTCCTAGTTTCCAGGGGTTTAGCCGGTGAAACAGGAATTTTTTTGGCTATTTGGCCGATGCACCAAAATGTCCCTGTTCGGGAGTAAAGTTTGCTTAGGGTATTTTCACCTTAGTAGTTTGGAAGCCTTTTGGCTTGTATTTCACCTTAGTAGTTTGAAAGCCTTTTGGCATGTGATTGCAAATCGGTGGCTTTGTAATATTTATTGTGTTCGTACAAATGCCCCGTATCAGTGGCTTTTCGGCTATTTATAGCCAGCCTGCTGATACGGGGGGACAAACGACCCCCTATCAGGGGTCAAAAGGTCGAAGGGTCACGCAGAGCGAGACATCGCACCAGCGGAAGTAGGTCACCGCACGCGGCGCCTACCGGTCCTTAAAGGTTGGAACGTGGCAATTTGCTAGGACTAAGCTAAAACAAATGCAGAAATGGGGACTACACAGAACAAAAAAGCGTTGTATCGATCGTCTGGAGAGGCGGGTCCTAAACCTATGTTTCGAAGAGCGAAAATGACGGCGACGGGGTGTGGGTACTTAGGACAGAACGCGACTTTTTCGCTCTTCGCAACGCGACATCGCGCGGCAGGCTGGCGCACCCGCAGCGAAAACAACTACGGTATGGAAGAACGCGCGATTGGAGCAGCTTTTTTGCATGCGTGAATTTGTAAGTTTCTGATTCCTTACTTGCCCGCGCTCACACCCATTGTATTGATAAATGCGGTGAATCACTAATTCTGTCTCATTATTGAAAACGTTTTGTGACTTACACGATTCCGGGCGATGCCACACAAATGGTGTTTTACGAATTATCGGTGAACGAGGGTTTAATAGTGTCGCTTGTGCTTGCATTTTGTGGGTTCATATTGTTGTATAGACATCTGCATAAGGGTATAACATCTTTTACGGAACGCTTCTGTCCTCATTCACGGATATGATACTCATTTTTGACGCTGGCGCCATTTGGGGCCGGGTGGCGCCACAACTGATTCCCACTAAATTCGCTGTAAACTTCTGTATAGGGGTTATTCGGGGTCCTGATTTGTTGTTAGCGCTATTCGGCGCCTGCTTCCTGCTCGTCTGCGCCCTCGCACTAATTAGATCGCAATAGGGCTCCAAAGTGGGTAGGCCATTCCCCTGTGGTCTGACACACTCCAACTTTTGCCACACGGTGCGTGGTTTACCCACTCCGGAGTTTCACTCCCCTCCCCTAAGCTTAGTATAGGCGCTGTAGGTGAGAAAGCTTAGAAAAGCAGAAAGTATGCGTTAAACAGCACGAATGTGAAAAATGAGTGTCATATTCATGATCAGGGCCCCAAATAACCCCTATGCAGAAGTTTACAGTCGTCTCATCAAACGTCCATCAACCATTCCTCTTCCAGGTTCTCCAGAAGCTCTACCATCCATCTCTGCAAAAATAACCTACCTCCCTCTTCACTGCTAGTTAGCGGTCCACTTCTGGTTACCATTTCCTCGTTCATTATCAAATCCATGGCTTGATTAAGCCTGACCGTCTTCTGGCCGACGCATACTCGTCGACGACCAAACAAGGAACGAACTGCAACGGTGTCGCATAAACCGCGGTCGCAAATGGAAGGCGACGCGGTCACCCAATGCAAACCCAGACAACACGTGACTGCGCGTGATCGTATTTCGAAAGTCCCACTGTAGTGTGGAATAGTAGCTGCGCATTGATCTGCCGACACTTGCGGTCGTTGCTGTCGTCCGACAGCAGCAGTCGGACGACAGCAACGACTGCAAGTGTCGCAGATCGATACGCACCCAATACTGTGCGACACTTGCAGTCGTTGCTGTCGTCCGACCGACTATGCGTCCGGCCCCTAGTGAACCACACCCATAGGATACTGTGTCGCCGAATGTCTGCAAATACACATCGCAACTGCGGCTCAACTTTTCAAGTTCTCTGCTGTAAAATTCGCATCATGGTAATATGAATGTGAAGCTGTGAGCTTCAATGTTGTGCACAGGTGAGCTTTTGCTTCAGTTGGATGTTAAGGCTTTAAGTTTGACCTTTTCCGTACAGGATTTCCAGGTGTTTCAGTTACATTCCCGATGTAAAAGTGTATCCATGCTTTATCAAATATGCTAGTCGATCAGAATATGGCTGCTACATTTCGAGATATGAGTGAGCACTTAGTCTGTTGCAGAGTCAAAGTTTGGTGATGCAACATCAGTTTTGCAGGAATTGTGCCAGTCAAAAATCCATTCGGAAAAAAGGATTTTGCCGTGAAAGTTCCTGTTGGCAACCTAGAAAGCGATCCTATTTGGGAAGTTGAAGCAATAGCGGCTGTAAGGTGTGTTTAATGTTTGACACCTTTTTGAAGGATTGGGTAGTTTCAATGGATATTGTAGTCAGTAGGTTTTGTATTCATTCAAAGTGTAAAATTTTTTCTATGCTGCTGCTTGCCAAGGTTTTTTTAAAGAGTCGAAACGTGTTTTTGGTTTACGTCACGGACAAATCATCGTCTTCATGAATTTGGAAGTGATACAACGTCTCGTTTGAGGCGAAAATTTGTTCTTACCCGCATTCTTGTGAAAATATAATATTAGCTCTTCTGCCTGGACTTTTCAGGTTTGAGGCTCTTCTGAAGCATCCCAATTAAACCGGGGTGCGGTGACGCTTAACCGTATGCAATATAGAAACTAAAAACATTATCAGATCTCCCAGAGCTTAAAGAAAGAACCCAAGATGGGTCCATAGTTTTGCTACTATTTCCTCGACACGTTCATTTGCTCAGCATAGAGACAACGTAACTGACTGCGTGTTTCTTGCGCGAGAGTGTGGCTCGTTGGCCGATGTCAGACTTTGCGATTGGAGCGATTTTGCACCAATTGCAGGAGCGACGGGAGATTTACACCGCCGACCACCGATAAC